ATGCATGTTATTGCCCATCTCCCCTCTGCGCCATCCATCTCTCAACGTTGGAGCATGATTTCCCATGGAAACAGGCTTCCACGGGTAGCCAGAAGAACCCCGCCCCTCCAGGAGGGCCGGGTCTATCCAGATTATATTCTTGTTTTCCCCTTAATTTTTGAAACTTGTTCAGCTCCTTTTAATTCTCACTTTCTTTTCCTCATCCAAAAGCAATCAGACAATACACAATATTTACATCTCTCTCTGGTATTACTTGACCCATGGCACAACTGTGACCCCACATTGGCCCATATTAGTGCTGCCTTTCAAAATGTGGCAAAACCTGACCATTGTCCCCTATTTCATTTTTATTTCCATTATAGGAGGGCGTTTTCCATGATAGGAGTGTGTGTGCTGGTGGGATATCTTGTTCAGTGCAACAAATCTCAAAAAAGATGAGTGACTGGAACCTCCTTTGGATTCTATCAGCCAAAAATTACAGTGCACCTGATCTCCTGTTTATGCCACTATTTGGCCAACTTAATTATGAAGGACTCATGTAATACTTCAAACTGGTACATTCAACTGCTTCCTTGGTTGCTGAAAGATTAAAATCAATCAGGGGGGGGGGCAGAATCCTTGCAACATTTTTTTTGCAATCACCACAATGGTAGACTAGATGTGTTTAATTCTGGCCTTCCTGCAACTGACCAAGGGACAACAACAAATGCAGATGATCACATGGCCATAGGTTGTAGACTAAACAGCAGTCACTGATCAAAAGAAAACAAACAAAAACTGAGTTTTTGGGGTTCTTCAATGGGTTGAAACTATGTGTTTTGTGTGATCTTCCACTAGTGTTTCTTGAATGGTTGGTTGATATCTAGCTTAACAAAGCCCCTCAATTTGTCAGGCCAGGCTGCCTGGCAGGTGAAAGCGAGCCTCATGTAACACAGCTTAGTGGCACTAACAGTGCACTGACAATTCAGGGTTAGTTCGCTGTTTCAAGGGCTGCCAAACTAACAGTTATTGTGTAATTTAGTGTAGTTTGATGAACATCCCATCAACATGGTGTGGTGGTGAGAGCGTGGAGGGGTCAAAGCTTTGGCTGGATTGTTTGGGGTGGGCGCGGAATGCACAGGGCTGACAAGGAAAGCATGCAGATCTAACACTATGCGGAAGGCTGAGGAAAGCGGTGGTGCGCAAACAGAAAGTCAAGCTTTCTGAGGCGCGAGAAAGCATGGGCTGAGCGGGGTTCAATGAACAAGGTTCCGAAAGCTTACTGCAGGGAATCCGGCCACTGGCAGACTTCAGGATTTCACGGCCAACTGTGGACCAGGGTTAGCGTACACTGCGGAGGGGCTATGACGGAGTGGGCGCACCAACAGGCGGAAGCGGGGCTCCGAGTGGCTGGACCAGAGGCAGAAGCGGTGGTGTGAGACCTGACCAAATAGCAGAAGGAGTAGTATATTGACTGGCGGGTGTCGGAGGGGTGACAAGCGCGACACAAGGGAGTGACAGAGGAGGACAGCGTGGGAAGCAGGGGAGAACATGTGTGTGGGCTAGCTGGCAGAGTAGGAGTTTGGAGCGGAAGGGGAGAGAGGGGGGGAACTTATGACTCAGAACATATCAGAAAAACAGAGTGACTTAGGAGTGAATTGTGTATTAGCCTAAAGAATTGTTAGAGATAGAAAAGAGTTAGAGTATTAAAAACAAAACAGCAAATAAAGATTAGTTATTTTCCTACCTATGAGACCATCAAGCAAGTTACCCTGGACAACAAACCGGAGAAAAGACGCGTTGCAGAGCGGAGAAGTGCAAGAAATCCCCTAAGGTGTGCCTTTCTTTCCACAACGGAACACACTTCCTAAGGTAGAGGATGAAGAGAAAAAAAATTGGTGCCAATTATTGGTTAGCT